CTTATGTGGAAGGCTAAAATTGGCTAGATTTGGATATTTCTCTTTTCCCAAGTTGTTTAGGCTCTGATAGTACTCCAACAGGTTAGGCTCTGATTAAGCAGTTTCCCTAGAGGGCAAAGTCTTGTTAAGAAGAATAGACTGCTTCTGGAGTATTTCAAAATAGTTCCTTTTTCCCTCCCCTTGCTGAAACCATGAGGTTTATTCTTTATATTCTTTATATTAAATATTCTTTAATATTTTCTATGGGAACCTAGCCAAGCTCCTGCAGGTAAGTCTCATAATATTGTGGGAGACCTCAATGACTGGATTCCTCTGGATTTTTTGACTCTCAGACTTATTCTCACTGAACCTCTAGCAATTTATCAATTGCAGTTCAAGTTTTCCTACTCTGGCATTGGTTTTTACTCATGAGCCTTTGCTTTGGTAAGCTGTGACTCCCTGGGTTTTCCTGTCTTGTCTCTCCAATCTTGGGGGTAGTTGTTTGCCCTGTGTCCTCCCTCTTTCACAGATCCAAAAATATTTGTTGATTTTTGAACTTTTGCTTATTGTTAGGACAGAGTGGTAACATCCAAGCTCCTTACATGCTGATCCAAAAACTAGAAGTCTATAAGTCCCTCCATGTGTTCTTTATTTTGCTAATTCTGATTGACTGAAGTCAGAGGTAATTTTGACATCTGCATTGTTAATATTCTTCCAAGTAAGTTGAAACTTTGATTGATAAAGGAAGTTAGGGTTCTCAGGTAAGCATTTCCAGGCATGGATTTGCCCCCTGTAATATACTAAGCAATGAGAATGGGTATGGTTATAAACCACTTCTTTGATTCTGTTGACTCACTCTGCAACTTTAATAAATGGAATATATGTAAAATATAAAATATAGTCCCATAAAATTTTAGTTTTATTTTCTACTCTGACCTGAAACAATAAAAAAAAAAAGTAAACTCTTTTCCATTGGAAAAGTAGAGGATTTACTTATGTCTTGATTGTGGGGAGATGTTTGATAATTAGCTCTTAAACGTCACCTTTACTATTATAATTTGTAAGTCAATTATTTATCCCCAAGTACTCATTTTTTATCACTTCTCAGTGATACTTTACATTATTAATCATTAGTATTTTTTAAAGCGGTATATTTCTTTTTAATCTCCATGTGACTGTATCATTTGAGTTCTTTTCTTATAGTAACTATTCCTCCTTTGCTCCATAGTATTCCTTTAACTCAGTAGTCAGATCTATTTTCTCTCTATATATGTAATGTTTCCTGGGATATCAATGATGATCATTTTATAAATGAGTCTCATCTGTATTAACATTCCTAACACCTTTCTCAAGACTCTTTTCCATGTATTTAACTTTTTGCCTACATGACTGAAGTAAAACATGAGAGTAGTCTCATCTCCGTCTCTCTAAACCAGTCCACCTCACTAAACTTCTACTCTTAGTTGTATACTCTTAACTTCCTAATGGGCTAAAATCAAAAATTTAGAGTCATTTATTACTTGCTCTTTTTTCCTTTTGTATCTAGTCACAAAATGTTATTGATTCATATTAGAATACCTTGAGTTCTATCCTTGGACCTTTTTTCTATCTGTACTCATTCCCCTAGTGATCTAATCTATTTGAAGTCTCATGCCTTTAGTATATATATGATAAAATTCCCAAATGTATGTATCCAGTCAAGAATTTTTATTTGTTCTCTAAATTTTTATATTCCACTGCCCACTTGACATCTCCACTTGAAAATACAGTAGATATCTCCAGCTTAACATGTCAGAAACTGAACTCCTAATCTTTCCCACCAAACCATGTCATTTGATGGCAGCTCCATTCTTATATTTATTGAGTCAAAATTTTTTCTTTGTTATTACCCTTTCTGTTTCTCTTACATGTAACATCAAATCTTTCACATAATCATTTTGATAACTCTACCTTCAAAATATATCCAGAATCTGACCACTTCCCATCATCTCCATTGTTACTATCCTGGTTCTAGCCCTGTCGTCTCTTGTATAACTTATTGCCTTGTCTAATTTTAAGCAAAGTTAGATCATGTCCAATTTCTGCTTAGAACCCACAAGTGAGTTACAGCAATTCCTTCTAACCAGTATAAACCCACAAATGAGTTATAGCAATTCCTTTTAGCCAGGATAATAATGTACAAACCACTACAGGATCTTCTCCCTTTCTCCAAATCTTTCTGATGTCTTCCCTTCATTACTTGCTCTGCTCCAAGCACTCTGTCTTCCTTTATGTTCTATGAACTTGTAAGATCCACTTCTACCTTAGGGCCTTTACACTTGTCTTGGAACCTTCTCCTCCATATATCCACTTGGCAAAACTCCTCACCTCCTTCCATTTTTTCTGAAATGTCACCTTCTCAATGTGTCCTATCTACCTTGACTACTCTATACAAAATTGCAAACTACCCCCATATTCTGGCATTTTGATCCCCATTTACCTTCTGTTTTTTCCTCCTAGTATTTAATGATCTTCAAATACATAATATCATGCAATTATTTATTGGTTTTTCTGTTTATTATTTCTGTTGCTTCCCAACTGTAAGCTCCACAAGGGCAATAATTTTTGTTTCTTTTACTCACGCCAACACGGAATACCATCTGACATGAACATACCCTCATAAATAATTGCTGAATGAATAAATGTATTGATTCTTTCTTTGTAGTCTGTTGCTATTGCCAATTGTTATATTCCAGAACTGTGCCACTAGTTATATATGGCTATTTAAAGTTAATTTAATGTAAATATGATAAAAATTTGTATCCTTATTATCACTAGTCAAATTTCAAGTGCTCAATAGCCATGTGATTCTAGTGGCTACCCTATTAGGTAGCGCTCATAGAGAACATTCCTTCATTTCAGAGTTCTATTGGACAATAATAGTCTAAGTTTTATGAAAGCAATTAATCTTCTTGCTGCAATCTTTCTAACCTTCTGCCTGAATTGTATACTGCTGTGAGCTTCATCTTTCTAAATAATTACTTATTTCACAAGAGTAGAATATAGTATTAGAACACAGTGAGAGTAGTGGAATCAGAAAGATGTTGTTTTAAGTCCCAGTCCTGGTATTTGACATTTAATGTAGATTTCTTTGCCTCCATTTTCACAAATGAAAAATGGAGATAATATATTCTTGGCAGAGTTGTTTCTACTATGCAGTATATGTATTCCTGAAGAATCTTGTGCTCTGCAAAATCATGGACTAAAACAGTAGGGCTTTCCTAGCAAATCAAGGTTAGAAAGACCATTCAAAATGCATGCAGCTTTGAAAACAGAACACTAAAAACAAAAAAAAAACAACACAACAAAAAGTCATTTGAAATTTTAAGCATTAAAATATTAAATATAGGAGTCTAAAATAAAATGAAGTTACCTAGATGGAAAGGAGGATAATTCTGCAAAGTTATGGCATCAAGGAAACTATCCATAAACACCAGAAAGGGCGCATGCAATTTGTACTTCTAAGGCAGAGTTCATGACCACAGTAAGCCAAGAGAAAGAACTTGGGATGTATGGGCATTGTACACAGTTCTGTATCTCTCTGGTTTACTGCAACCCTCTGTGTTAGTGTACTCTGCATTTGGCTGCTATTATTTGGTAGTTGTAGTGGGCATTGTTGATGTTCCACCCATATCCCCTTTACCAGCTGGTTTACCTATTCCTTGCTATTATGTGTGTTGGTTACTAAAAACTCACAGCTGTCCCTTTCTCCCAGGAATTGCCCTTAGACAAATGGAAACCACCTCACCCAGATTAAAAACCTTGTCTACCTTCTATTGGCAGTCTTCAGCCAGTGACTGGCTAACATAGTACAAAAGTCTAGCCCTGTTGCCTCAAAGTCAAGGCAACTCTGATCCAATTCATCTTTCAGAGCCTCCAGTAAGATTAAACGGCTACATTGTTGCTTAGTTTGTTCCCTTGCCCTATTCTGCTGTCCTCCATTGTCTCTAGAACACTACTTCAGTTATTCATGTGCATACGAATCTTTGTCTTTTGCTGTGTTTCTAGGAATCTAATATAAGATGATACTGGAAAAGATTAACATGCTAGAAAAAAATCATATAGAAGCCAGTCATTTTTCTGAGTTATATCTGAAACAAATGTTGTAGTGAAAAACTTTGTACAGTGCCCAGCAGACTTCCTAGCACATAGTAAATGATCAATTAATAATAGCTGTAATGAGCATGTTGAAGATAATGGTGGTGGTGCTAATATCACTCTCTACTCAGAAATTTTTAGGCTTTTTACATTACAAACCTTATGATGTTTTAGATATCTACAACTTGAGTCAAATTTGCTTTTCCTGCTTATTTTCCCCTGCTGCCCCACATTGAACTGACATTTTTTCTCCCAACTTAGAATTCTACTTTTCTTCCATTTGCGCACATATCAATTGCTTTCTAGCACTCATTTGAGTTGTATCTCTTCTAATATACTTTTTCAAAATTTGTCGAATCATATTTTTATTCTTAGGCTTCTACTGTATCTCATCCCTGTCAAATACTATAAGAAAAATGGTAGCACATGCCTGTAGTCCTAGCTACTCAAAGGCTGAGACAAGAAGATTGCTTGAGGCCAGTAGTTCAAGGCCAGCCTGACCAACAGAGTGATACCCTCTCTCTTTAAAGAAAAAAGCAGTTTACATATGTGCTATAAATGGTATTCAGAATTCTAATATTATCTCTTAAAGAAATGACTATAGACTTTAGGAACTTTTTGAACTTAATAAGTATAAATATTAATAATTGTTGAGAAGTATTTGAAGCTTTTCTAGGTCATTGAAGAGATGAAAATGTTTTTATTTGAGTCTTTTATTGAAGATAATTAACTGTATATAAAGTCTTAATATTATGCTTTATTTATTACACTTTAAGATATTCAAAGTCTTTCAATTTCATCAACATTTTATGTCTTTAAGTACAGAATACATGAAGGGCTTAGGTATAGATAACTATAATATTTATTAATCTTTCTACCTTTAGATTATCGATACAATGGTCGAGATCTTCAAAGCTCAACATTATCAGTGCCAGAACAAGTAATGTCATCAAATCATTGTTCACCATCAGGGTCTCCTCATCGAGTAGATGTTATAGGGAGGACTAGATCGTGGTCACCCAGTGTCCCTCCTCCACAAAGGTAAGACAACATACTCCCTTTATTTGTAGGTTGTTACTACAGGCCTATTTATCATAATTTATCATTAATTATCTTTAAATATAAATGATTCTTGTGGGAAAAAGTTATTTACAGAGAAACAAGATGCTATTCAATAACCTATGTATTGAGAGTGAAATAAAATGTGGGTTATCTGTAACTTTGGACAACCCTTATATTATTTTATTGTAAGAGTTCAAAATAATTAAGACCCTGCTTTCAGTCATATTATCAGTGGGAGCAGATATAGGTAGAACCAACTAATTATATACATGAATGATGTAGATATTGGTAATGGAAGAAATAGGAAAAAATAAACAACTGACTGGTCTTTAAAATTAGGAACAATCATCAGAAGAATACAAAAGAATGCATGTGCAGTGGGAAGAATGGTTCAGAAAATCTGCAGTTCCAGGTTGTATACTTGGTGGAAATCTCTGATCAACCTTGTTAAGTATAGGCTCAATGGAATAAGAACCATAGAAATAATAGGTGAGACTACCAAGAAATATGTGCATAATTCACACTTTATATACTTGGAATGTTTAAGAAATTTTGACCAGTTAGAGTAATAGCCTTATAACTTCTGTTTTAAATAAATAATTGAGTTAGTATTAGAATTTTAATTGAATCTTAATTTTACACAGGATATTATACTTCCTGAGAAGATATTAGATTTATTTTATTTATAAATTTAACTTATTTAATTTAGGAGGCTATGAAGCACTAAGAAGTGTTTATAGAATTTGAACAATTACAGAAATTAAAAAGAAAAATCTAATATAGTAATTTGATAAACATAGTTTAAAATGTTTAAAGATGTTGAATTAACTAAGAAAACCATCCACACTTCATAAAAGCTTACTAATGTAAGCACTGCATTAAACAGAAAAGTTTTAGAGGCATTTACATTAAATCAGAAATAACAGAGAGTGCTCATTATTATTGTCACTGTTTAAAATAGTACTTCAAGTCCTGAGAAATGTTGAAACACAAGAAAAAGAAATAAGAGGTGGAAAGCTCAGAAGTGAGAAAAACCATCATTATTTGTTGATTATAGGATTATATACATAAAAAACCTAACATGATCAAAATATTAAAACTAATATGGGAGTGCTGCCAAACACCTGGCCATACATATGTCGACTTACAAAAATGAGTGATAACTAATTAGAAAATACCATAAGACATAAAGCAATATGCTGAAAAGCCACATAAAGTATAAAGTATTAATATCTAGCAATTCATCCAACTAAGAATTCACAAGATCCTCTTAAAGAAAAATATAAACTTTAGATAAGGAATCAGTGAGAGATATACCCTATTTATGGGTAGAATTACTTCATCCAATAAAGATAGCAAATTTTAACAAATTTATCTATGAATCTAATGCAATACCAGTCAATTTTCTATGTGTAATTTTTATAAACTTGTCACTCTAGAAATTATATAGAAGGATAAACATATGTAAATAATTAAATCCATTTTGTAAAAGAAGAGAGAAATGTATTATCAGGCCCTAATGATTAAAAACAAGATGCAACTTGAGCAATAGCAACAAACTAGACATAATGAATATAATAGTACAATATAAATATATATACATTTACATTTCTATGTTTACTTGGTATCGTATAAGATGACACACATTAATATGGAAAGGATGGGTTGGGAAGGATAGGAAAATTAGTTCATCACATGTAATAAAATTAAAAACTGTATTCCTACCTTTCATTCAATAATATGACATGTCATGATCTTCATTATGTTTTATAGGGCTGCTGTGTGTCACGGTAGATGAGGTAATGGTTGAAGCAAGAGACTACTTAGGGGGTTATTGCTATGATATATGCACAAAGATGATAGTTTGGACTAGAGTGGTTTCAAGGGAAGTGGTGAGAAGTGGACAGATTTTTGAGCTGTTCTTCTGAGCTTTGAACTCATATTTGACCATGTGGCATCTCTATATCCATTCCTATAGGATAGATAAGCAAACATGTTTAACACTAAACTAATTTTCTTCATACAAATCTACTCCTCTTCCTGTATATGTCATTAAGTATCACTACTAGAGACCTGGGAGTCATCCATTAATAAGGTTGATATTCGTTAATAAATCCCCATTGATGTTTGCTTAATTTGAGCTCTTTTTGTATTGTATCTGTTATAGCAGCAATCTTCTTATCTGTCAATCTCCAACTGAAATTTATACCTTTAGCCAGGAGTGCAGTTAGTTAAAACAAAACAAAAAATTTGGACCTGACTACACAGTGACTTTGTCTTTTTCTACTATTTTTATTAATAAATCTCACTACTTAGTATAGTATATGATTATAGTTTACTAAGATATTTGATGGATATTGCTATTTTAGCCGGAATGTAGAACAGGGACTTCGAGGGACACGCACTACTACTGGACATTATAATACAATTAGCCGAATGGATAGACATCGTGTCACGGATGACCATTATTCTCCAGATAGAGACAGGTAAATATGATTAAATACTATTAGACCTTACAATGAACATCTTCAGGAAGGGGTTACCATAAAATATTTTCATCTATTCCTTTATCTGAATTTCTAAAGCAATATTTTTCCTTTACAATACTCACATTCTTTCTTATGACTGTCACATTGTTAAAAAAATAAATAAAAGGCAACATTTTCCGTAGTAAGAAAAAAACAAAATCATCTTATTCTTGCAGTTTTGATCCTTTATTAAATCAAACCAGTTAAGTTTGTGAATCTGCATGAGAAATATAATTATGATGAAAATAAGATGTTTTATTATTTTTACCTTTTCATAACCAATTATATATAAAAATATCTTCATGATACAATCAATTTTAAAATCTTTTATATTTATCAGAGAAATCAGTGTTAATATTCCCGTGTAGAAGTATTAAGACAGAGTCTGGTTTGTTTAGGAAACATTGTATCATGACTTATGAAGAGGTTTTTCCTCATGGCTTTTAGTAAACCTTTTTAAAAAAATCATGCTTGTTGATTGTTGTATTTAGAAGAACTCTCTGAATTTGCTCCTTAAGTATGGCAAACTTGGAAGTAACATGGTATGTTACAATTCTTACATTAATTACTATTAACATTTTTAAGTTAAGCAAATTGATTAACTCTAAGTCATGATTTATTTACATATAAAATGAATGATATTATATTTTTACCAAACTTTTCAAAGGATGGAGTAAAATAATAAAGGAACTCAGACATGCTTTTGTATGTGTTCTAAACTCATTTTAGGAAGAATACTTGGGGCCTTTTAAATTAACTGATATGAGAAATTAATGTCAACATTTATAAATTTAATTGTTTTATCTAAATCTAGGATTATATTCAATTCATGCTTATACTTTCACCATGTTTTAATATACTTAGTCTTCAGCAGTGACAAACAAGTATTGCCTTTTGTGTCTGAGATCTGAGAAGATATTAGGAAGTTGTTAAATTAATATTAGTATTAATGCCAAATGAAAGTTAATGTAATATTTTATTTATTTTTAATTTGCTTAACTTTTTCATAGTGATCTGAGTATTTAGAGGTAATTATAGACATGCTATCTATAGAAATTGATGCTTATAGAGTATAATAGTGAAAGAAGGATAACTGTGTTGGCATGATTAGGAGTTGGAAAGAGTCATATTAGGATGGATCAATAGGAATTTTGGTTACTTGATAGAATTTTAATGAGATTGATCATTTCTGGAAATTATTTATATAGCAAGTTGTGAATTCCTTGATCCTTGAAGGTTTGTTAATGGAAATGATGAAAGAGAAAGCCTGAAATTACTTTAAGCTTCCTTTAAGTTTATGTAAAGATTTCTTTTAATGAAAAATGAACTTTACATTTTCCTCTAAAACAAGTAAATGTGGTCTAAATCTTGCAGGAAAAGAGAGGGTAAAATTAACCTCTAGCATTACATTCACAAACAGAAATGGTTGCTATCATATCAAATGCATAATATTTCATAAATATTTTAAAACAAATGGCCCTAAATTTAATGGCAACAAAATTTGATATTGAAGCCTAGGTGATTCATCCTTGGTATTAGCTAATATCACTAACATATCAGAGATATTCTACAATATGCATATTTATTTCTATCTCAATTTATGCCAATAATTGAAATGTCATGTATATTTTTTATTTTAAAACTTAATGAATCTATTAGTTTAGCAAAAATGTTCAAATAACTGTTTCCTGAAGTTTTGGGGAAAATTGATCCATGTGGTTTCATTACTCTTTTAGAATGTTGTAGATTGCCAAGTTATAATTACTGTTAACTATGAGCTGCATTAAATTTTTTTTTGATATAAGTAAAATAGAATTTTACTTAAATAGGAATATAAAACCATTTCTAACATTTAGATTATCTGTTTAATCATTCATTAACATGAGGAATCAAAAATCAAAAAGTACAATATTATTCATGTATTAGTCTATGACATTATTGAATAGTGGATCCTTAATCTCTGTTTTAGTCTAATATTCTAAAATATTTTTGATAATAAAATGCATATGAAGGATTTCTAGTTTTTGTTTACTATTTAGAAGGTAAGAATACTCTAGAACTCTTACAGTGAATTTTTGTGGATAGCATTTTATAGAGTCTATCAATAATATTGTTAATTTAAAAGCTTAAGAGAGAATTTCTTTTGAGATAGTAAGAATAATTTAAGTATTTTAAAAGGTACATTAACCTTTCTTATCAGTAAGAATTATTGCACTGGACAAAAATACTGTTTCATTGAATGTACTCTTTTTCATAGGATTTGCAACCAGATGGCCCAGAGTTTGAATCTAGGGTTTTACCTCATGCTACCTGTTTATCTTTATGGGAAAATTAACCTCTTTAACACTAGATTTCCTTATCTATAAAATTAGAATATTAATGTCAACTTTACAGGGTTGTGTAGATTAAATGACAGTGTCTCCAGTTGTATAGATGTATTCAAAAAATATGCTCTAACCTTAACATTTAAAAATTATCTAATGGTTTGCAAATAATTTGCAATTAGTGTGCTTAATAATTAAGCTAAAACAGACAAACATACAAACAAAAAACCCAGTGACATCAGTTCAGGTATTTTTTTCAAAGTTCTTTATAGAATATAGGACATGCATTGGACCTGGAAAAATGGGCGTATTTATTTAGGCAAGTACAAGAGCAAAGTTACACAGGCAAAACACACCTATCCATCATAAAGGCTCAGTACGAAGGATGAAGGATTGGGGACATGTTTGAAAGTTGTGTGTGAAGACAATGACTTTTACACTGACTACATTGGGCGAGAAACTATGCTCTTTAACATTAATTTATAATAATTGATCAAACTTAAGTGAGGTAAAGAGGAAATCAGGTAATCATTCTTTTTAATAGATAATGTAAAAAGAGTTATATATAAAAGTTTTATTCAGTCTGTTTCTCTGCTTATCTCTATGATCATTAGTCAAATCCTATTATATTTTGAAAAATTCTATATTATATTCTTTACAAGTAATTCATAAACCTGGATGCAGAGATATTAGATACAATAATGAATTATAAAGGATATCTTTCATCTTCCCCATCCTTCCCCCTTTTTGTAGCATTGTTTTTCTGATAAATCTTGGTAACTACTAAAACTAGGAACATAATTAATTTATTCTGGGGCAGACTATGTGGTTTTAGTATTAGAAATCATTTTAAGAGCTTTTTTCTTTACTTGAGTTAGTTTATTATTAGAATAAATATAGAGTATTAGATAATATTTCTGTAACATGTCAGAGATCTCCAGTAGTATGCATCTTTATGTCTATTGTGGGGGCCAAAATATATTGAGTGCATTTATTTCCATGGATTATACTTTTAGCATTATAAGAAAAAAGTAAAGTCAATACTGGCAAAGATAAATTACTTTATAAACTTTTTTCTCTTTTGCATTCAAATGATTAGTTGATACTCCAAAAGGGAAAATTACCTATTATATGGACCTCTGGAATACCTCACACACCTATGGTATTTCTCTATTCCATATCAGGCAGCCAGTAACCACAAAGTGAAACACATATTCATAACCACTTCATCAAACAGAATAATCTCTTTGGTCCTTTCAGTTATCACCTATGAAAGGAACACATCTCTGAAAGTTTAAAAGTATAGAGAAAATAAATGAAAAAAAAGATTCACTTTACAAAAATAATATAATATTTTATTTATGATATTTCAGAAGCATTTTAACATAATAAAATTATACTGAGTATATTGTAGGAACTATAAAGTAAGCAAAGCATTAGCAATGTTAAAGACACAGCATGAAATTTTTGCATTATATAGGGGTTGTTAAAAATAGCTTTCAAAATATATGGGTTTGCTTAAGGATGAGATCTTTTATCTCCTTTTTGTAGTCTAGTGGTTTCTAAAAGGAGACATTCAGGCTATAGTGGAAGAATAATTCATTATAAATATAATTTTGTGAGATCTTCAAAGATTATATTACTTAAGATCAATGTGTCTAGAAATTGGATTAGTAGTCTAGTTCAGTTTTTTGAAAAGTAATATTTTTATCATGATCCTTAGAATCTGTAACATCTTTACTTTGTTTCTACTTTTCAAAATTTAGTAATTGTATTAGTTTTGTATTTCATTTATAGTGATTATTGCTCTGTGCAAATTTTGATTAACTTCAAACAGATTGGACTAAATGTAATTTTTAATATGACTAGCTGATTGTGCATATTGAAGACATTGTACATATTTATTGCTAAGATTTTATAACGTCCTTTAATTTTGGAAGAAAAGTAAGCATGGTTCAGTGGAGATGTATAAAATATTTTTAGATTGTACTAAGTAGATGCAGCAAAGGACCTTGGATACATGTATGGGCCTATGGTGGATTTTAGAGGGCTTACTAAAACACAGTGGTAAAGTTTGTATTCATACATCAGTTTTCATAGTTTTCAGCAGAATCTCAATGGGAATCCTACCACATAAGGTTAAGAGCTCACATGACTAGAGATAGAAAAGAGAAATAAAACAAATTGATGCTTGATAAAGGTGATTCTTGCTTAATATTCCCTTTGGCTTTATAGGGACAAAGTTTAACTATAAAATTCTTCAAGGAAAATAATAGATATTTTATGATTACATACACTTTATGAACTTATGAATTTTAACAAGCTTTGAAGTTCCCACATTTTCTATTACTCTTAAGTAATTTTTGGAAAATATTCCTTTTTAAAGCAATAAATTCCAACATCACAATTGCTGAATATTATTTCTGTTCTTTATGAAACAATAAATGCTTTTCCTGATACTTCCTCATTTTTTTATACAACATAGGTTTATAATCTTCTGTTTACATTTCTAGAACATTTTATGATTATGTAAAGCACTGGTCTCTTTGGAGAGAACATTCATCATGAAAATGGTGTAATTTTCTTTTTGTTTTTTTTTCTTTTTAGTTCAATCCTATATATATACATATATAGAGAGAGAGAGAGAGAAAGAGAGAGAGAGACAAAGAGAGAGAGAAAGAGAGGGGGGGTCAGCTACTATGCACAATGATATTTTTAAAATTTTCCTGGTCTAGATAGACAAATTATCATATATCAACTAATTATAAAATGTAGAAGACTGTGAGGCAGAAACATAATATTATTGGAACCAATTGCAGAGAAAAATTTACTTGATTTGGTCTATAGGCAAAGGGTTCAAGGAGAAGTTGAACTTTAAAGACTGAGTAGGATTTTGAAAGGCAGAAAGGTGGAGACAGAGGGAGGATGATGGGCACTCTTAAGCATGAATAAAGTCTTAGAATCAGCAAAGCACATGATATGTTTAGAGAATCTTAGATAGTCTTTTGTATCTAGATAAGTAGTGGAGTGGGGAATGGAAAGTGACAGGAAATGAAGATTACAAAGTAGTTTAGAACTTTTAAGGAATTTGTACTTATTTTTTTTTTTTATATCAGAAGCCATTGAAGGATTTTGAGTAAGGCACATTCATGATTAGAAAGCGTAATTTGCAAATATACCACTGTAGACAGGGTGAAGAATGGATTGGGTTGTGAAGGACTGAAGTCTGGAGGTAAGGAAACCTAAGAGAAGGTTATTTCAATACACATAGTAAGCCTGATTCTTTTAAGTAGTGGCAGGAGAAAAGAAAAAGAAGGGAGAAGTCTGAGTTATTTATGTGTCAGAACCAGCAAATTTATAAATTAATTGAATGCGAAAATTCAGGGAATGGAGTAAATTCTGAGTTCGTAAATCTGGGTTTATTAAGTAAATATTTTAATCCTTAGTTGAAGGTGTTATTACAAGACATTACAAAAAAGGAATAGCTGAAGTATTATATTGGTTTTCAAAGGAGAATTAAAGAATTTTGTTGGAAATTAGAAGAGACTTTAGAGATTGTGAAGTCCTAAGTTCCAAAGAGGTACCTGAAGGACTACTATGATAGGTAAGCATGAGGCCAAATGGGTAGAGATCTAAGCTTTTCACTCATTAGCGAATGTCATTCTGATTTTATTGGATTCCTGTGTATTGTTGCTACATCCAATTTTGTTTGAAAACAGAGTCTTCTACTGAAAAAAAAAAAAGTTTCAAAACCACTGCTTGAACCCCTTCATTTCACAAATGCAGCAGTTTTGTCCCAACAGGCAAGGTGTATTGTTCAAGTCTCACAATTAACATGTATTTTTCTGAGTGTCTTTAAGACATTCAAGCATCATATGGAGAGCCCAGGAAGCTGAAATGTGCTAAAACACAAAGAAAAATCAAGGCTAAAGCAAAGTGATAGTTTACACTATAAAAACAAATTGTATTATCTAGATATAATGTGTTGGAATATAAGGTCAGGAAATGAATCTTGGGAAACCACTGCCCCTAAGAAAAACAGAAAAAAGAAAATACAGTAAATACAGTAAAAGAAATGGATAAAGAAGTAATCAGATAAGTGAAAGACCAGGCCATATGTATAAATGTTAAAGAGGCTGAGTTTTGAATTAAGAATGCCCTTAGTTTGAAACTCAGTCCTGTTACTTATTTTATGGTTGTGGGCAAACACAGCCTCAAGTTTCTCTATGGGAATGTGCGAAGACTAGAACCTCCTTTTAAGAGAAGAAAATGAAGTAATGTAGGCAAAACATACAGTGGAGTACTTGGCACTGGTTAAATGTTAAATAAATACTATGTTTAATAGCTAGAGAGAATAGTATTTCAGAAACCAAGAAAGGAGAAAGGGTTAGGAAATAGAAGTTTGAAAATATTTAATATAGAAAAGTGTGATGTGATAAAGATTAAGAGGAGACTAAAAGATTTTTTAGGATTCCACAGATAATATTCACACGATACCTTCAAGAGAATAGAGTTAGAAGTCAAGTTACAGTAAGCGTAAAACATGAATGCAGAGTGAGGAAGATGTGGCAAGAATTGTACATATATGTCTTTAAGATATTTTATGTTGAAAAGAAAGTGAGAGAGATGCAATGGCTTGAGAGGGAGGCAAGATTAGCAAGGGTTTTATTTTTAGAATTAAGTGTAGTTGAGGAAGGGAAGGCAGGAGAGAATAATGAATGAAGCAAGGTAATGTGGGAAGCAGGATTACAAGTAGAGGCATTTCTTCTTTTGGTGCAGAAAATAAGGACGAGTGAGGATATAAATATATATTTACTCTATATTTAAAGGTAGAGTTATGGAAGTTGAAAGTTCAAGGTTCATTTCCATTGTTTACTGCAATGTAATGATCATCTGCCAAGATTTGTTTTGACCTTAAAGATTTTAAGAAAGTAGAAAATTTTTAATTAGTGCTATGGAAAGAAGAGAGTCACCTACAGATGGGTAAAAAAGGTCAATGTGCTGCTTTGATACCTTATAGTAGTCACGAGGCATGAAATGTAGCAAAGCAAATAGCATGTAATACATACATAATAAACATATTGAATGGAGAAATGGATAGCATACAATAGATCTAATAAATATGATTACCAAATAAAAATTATTTTAATTAATTTATTCCTTATTAAATGGAATTTCTAAAGCCCTTTGTAGTTATTAATTATTAATAAATGAGAGAGAAATAATTACCTTATAAAATCTCCTAAGTATTAAAAGTGTAAGGAATTACCTCTTTCATTATTTCCTTCTTAAACTTTCTGGTTATTTTATTGCTTTTCTCTTCTTACTGTCCTTCCTAAAAAATGAGAAATCATCTCTATCAAATAACATTTTCTAGATAGTGCTGAATATGTTTAAGTGATAATTGATAAGATTTTTATTTAGAAATATGATTTATAAAAATCTCAATGTTATATTTTTGTTGTATTTTACTTTAAAATATTTAGAATATTTTAACCTTTAGCATGCCATATTGCAACAGACATTGGGAGGAGGGGCCTAGCTTTCCAGTAAACAATTTTCATTTTCTTTGCCTACTATCTGCCTATTTTTTGAATCTCACTTTTAAAGTTAAACTCTCCTTTTTTCACTTCTTTTCTGAGTCTTATTTATATTCTTGTTTCTGCCATGCTTGCAGTCATTTTCTTACTCTACCTCGCTCCAGATACAGTCAGACCAGTGGGCATCATCACAGGGATGGCAGGTATATTTTTCTTACAATTGAGTCTGTTTGTAGAATTGCATGTGCCTGTCTATTGATATGATGTAATTCACAATTTTTGTTTTTTTATATACTTATATGGTTAATAGTGAAATATGGAAATACTATTCTTATAAAATGGCATGAAATAAAACATACATAAACTGTTTAATTGTAGTGGGACATCAAAAATACAGCTTATTTTTGGTAAATTAGGATCATCTCTGATGATCCTAAAAATTTAGTACACCAGGAATTATAGTTAACTCTCTATTCTAGAAAGATAGAATAACAGTATTCTTTTTAAATTAACTGGAGTTAACTGCCCATCTTACTCAGGAGAGTTAATAATTAGATATTTAGATGGCACATGTCTTAACAATCCATTTCTCCACCTATCTGCTCCAGGGTAGAGAGGAATTTGTCCTTGATGTGTTTACATGGGACTGATTTGTTTGTGCGTACCTTGTCAAAGGTTGCTGGGATCTACTCTTTTAACACAGTAGATAATTCTGATCTGTGGAGAACACTGGGTCTGTGGGAAACACTTGTTCATTTCTTGTCTACCACCATTCCTCTTTCCAGAGTGGGAATTTGTAGTGAATCATGGACAGTCACAGCTGCAATATCTTAAATATATTTTATACTGGAGGGAAATATCAGTTACCTGGTATTTAACAGAATGAGGGATTAACTATGATAAAAATAGGGGTTAGCTAAAAAGGGAAGTGAAAGATCTCTAAAGTTCATAAAGTTCCCAAGCCTACTATAAGTAATTGTATGGATTTGAGTCAGTTCAATGACATTAGAGACCTTTTAGGCAGAGTGATAATGTGGTGGTGGGATCAGCTAGTATAGATTGGGAATTATGTGCCTAGGAATTATACATAATCACCCTGTTGTTTCAAAGTGATTCGGAGTTACATGTGATTCCTTTATTAAATTAGTTAATTATCCCTATTTTTCCCTGATAAATTAGTTTTATTAAGAGTTGATAATAAAAAGTTTAGAAAAAGTGATTGAAAACTAATGGGTAAATTCCTAAGGATTGAATTCATGTGGGTGAATGTGGGAGAACATTGTTGAGATGACATCAATAATATATTCCTAATAATTCAAGTTTTGTGATATCTTTCTAGTAAATATAATTGATATTTAGTGCCTTCCACTTTAATTATATGATATTGGTCATTGCTATTTTTAATTTTCTTTTGCATTTTTCCAGTCTCTTTTCCTTTTTTTCCCTTCATTACTAAATAATTATTGTTTGTTGTTTTTCTTTTGATTTTACTGTTGCTTTGATTTTACATTCTGACTACTTTTTGATTGCAGTGATTATACATTTACCTTACAAAAATGTGAAAAAGTAGTTATATAACTGTATCTTAATAATTGACTTAGGCTTTTTTTAAGGTGGGTGACATGTATGAATGGGACATTACTGATTATAAGTTTATTTTATTTACTCTGGTACCTCTTCGTTTCATTTTAAGTTAAAATTGTGTACCACATTACTTTTTATACTTTGTATAAAGTCTCTATTATCAACCAGTAGATTGTCTGTTTCATGTTACTTAGTTTTTCAATTCACCAATGTAGATAGAATCAGTTCTTGATCAGCTCTAGGTTGGTTATCAATTTTATATACTTATCTGAACTCTCAGCTTCAGCCTAACTGGCCTATTTTGAAGGGGACATTTATGAATTATCTTCCTCTGCCACTCTTTGGTTTGTTGTGAGGAAACAGAAGATCATTAATGTATTAAAATATAACAAAGAGAAATCTGTTTCAGAAAGCCAGTTATCAAATGTCTAACTGTAAGATTTGCTATGTATGTTTACATGTATATGTAATATTTATTTTACATGTATTAAGGCATTTGCCTTGATCTAGGGCAGCAGAAACTCATGAAGGCATTATCTAAGTCTAGTGTACAACTAATCCTAGACAATTTTGGAAGATTTTGTGAAAATGAAGTTCCTTAGTTATCTTTAAAAATATTATCTTTCTAACTACATTTGTACCCATTAACCAATGTGTCTTCATCTTCCCCTCTCTATTACCCTTCCTAGCTTCTGATAACCACCATTCTATTCACTTTCTCCATGAGATCAATTTTGTTAACTACCACATATGGATGAAAACATATAATATTTGTCTTTCTGTGCCTAGCTTATTTCATTTAATATAATGTCCTCTATTTTCATCCATATTGCTGCAAATGGCAGGATTTCTTCTTTTTATGGCTAAATAATATTCCACCATATACATTATATCACCTTTTCTTTATCCATTCATCTTTCGATGGACACTTCAGTTGATTCCATACCTTGGCTATTGTGAATTGTGCTGCATCAAACACTGGAGTATAGATATCTCTTCGATATACTGATTTTCTTTCTTTTGGATATATATCCAGCAATAGGATTACTGGATCATATGGTAGTTCTATTTTTAGTTTTTTGAGGAACCTCCCTACTCCTTTCCATAGTGGCTGCACTAATTTACATCTCCACCTATAGTGTATGAGCATTTCCCTTTCTCCTCAACCTTGCCAGCGTTTGTTGGTTTCTGTTTTTTTGATAACAGCCATTTTAACTAAGGTGAGATAATATCTCTTTGTGGTTTTTAATTTGCATTTCCCTGATAATTAGTGATTTTGAGCCTTTTTTATATATACCTTTTGGCCATTCGTATGTCTTCTTTTGAGAAATATATATTCAGATCTTTTGAACTTTTTAATTTGATTTTTCTGTTTATTTGCTATTGAGTTGTGTGACCTTCTTATATATTTTGGTTATTAATTTCTTATCAGATGAATTATTTGCAAAATATTTGCTTATATATCAAAATAACTAGAAGAGAAGATTTGAAATGTTCCCAACACAAAGAAATGATAAATGTTTGAGGTGATGGATATCTGAATTACCAAAATTTGATCATTATACATTGTATGCTGTATCAAATTCTCCCATATACCCCATAAATATATAAAACTATTACGTATCTATAAAAAATTTTAATATTACTTTTCATTATCATCATTTTGGTACATATAAAAGAATGTGTTTAAGTTTCAAAGCATAGTAATAGCATGAACATCCATGAATCTATCACCCAAACTGAGAACCAGAACATCTAATTACATACCGTGCATCTCTTAGACTCTCCATGCCTGTTACATCCCTATGCCTCTTCCACAGAAGTAATAAATCTATACTGTTTTTTCAATTTAATATACCATTCTTTTATTTAAGTGACTTTATGTTTTGTCACCTCTCTGCCAAACATTTTTTTTCTTTTTTCTTGTATTTCAAAACATTATGGGGGTACAAATATTTTTGGTTACATAGATCACTTTTGTAATGCTTGTGTCAGGGCTATAAGTGTTCCCATTACCAGACAGTGGTCATTGTACCTGTTAGGTAGCTTTTAGCCCACCTCCTCCCCCTCTCCCCCTGCTTGATTCCCTCTGAGTTTTATTTCGCTTTGTGCACATATGTGTTCATTGATTAGTTCCAATTTAATACCGAGTATATGTGGTGTTTGTTTTTCCATTCTTTAGATAGTTCACCTGGGATAATGGTCTCCAGTTCCATACAAATTGTTGGAAAAGACATTATTTCGTCCTTTTTATGGCTGAGTAGTATTCCATGCCATTTGTTATTCACTCTACTAATTTTCTAATTTTCTCATCCCTCTGACCTCCATCCCAATCCACTATGAATTCTTGTAATGACTTTTTTTGGACATCTGTTAAAGATATAAGAGCTTATCTAGGCATTATCCATTCTTCTGTATTTATTTCCATAATGTTTTGTGCTTATTATCTTTAACTCCTGTACCTTAGTATGTAATGCAGCTAAGCACTACTGCCCACTACCCAGCTGTGTTATTATTATCTGTTGACTTCTTGGTTATGCCATTTTATTCACTGATGATTTTAGAACCTGGCTTTAGTTTTCCTCTACATCACAATTCATGCCATCAAGCTTGAGTAATGTGAGCATTCACCTGAGTGGTCTATTTATCACCCATTCACTTCCTTAACTGTCTTAAGCTTTACCCTCAGTTGTACTCAGTAAGTCATTCTCATGGCCATATTCTGAATTTTATTATCACTTGAAATTGTTCTATGTTTGAAATCTTAATTCAAATACTCCACTCTTAGACACCAGAACTGTACACATTTCTTTCTTTTTTTAGGCCACTTCTACTTTACTTGTTCTTTCATCTCAGTGGAGAACTCTACTCTTCTTGACCCCTTTACTTTCTCAATATTACTCTCCACCATTTTTCCCTATTTATACATCCAGAGATTGAATCCATTCTCAGAAATATCCTCAATTCCTTTGCTACATTGATCTTCTTTTACCTATTTCACAAAATTCAAATTTGGATCAATTTCTTTCTCTTACAGAATAGTTTTTGAGCTAAATTATGCAAATACTCCCTAACTCATTTACTTGAGTCAAAATAATTGAACATTTAAAAGGAAGGGGGCCTTTTTGTTGAGGGATGTGAGTAAATAAAATGGCACCAATCTCTATGTGTTCAGTTTTCTAGCCTAGGTTTAAAAGTGACATATACTCTTGTCTGGGAATTCCTCTAAGAATAAATATATATTAATAGCTCCAAGTGGGCCATAGTTTGGCTGTATGATATCTGGAATTTTCTGAATGGAATGAATGTAGTAAATGAAACATGGCATTCCCAGTCTATGTCTAGTCCATCAAAAGAATCTAAGCTTTCACTGGTCATTCTATCCCAAGTGTATGACTCAAAAAATTATGAGTACTATCTCATTGGAACAGAAGAATAGAGACTGAAATAATGTTTCCTCAACTTCTTTTGTATTACTTCAGGAGACACTATTAACTTATATTAGAAATCAAGCACTTTTCTTCTGGCTTGATTATACTGAACTGTACAAAATTATCTTTAATTCATTGTGCATTTTAAAGCACATTCAACATTAAAAAAATGTTTATTGTGGATATTG